TAGTGATTCCACATATGAGCATGTTGAAGAAATTGAAGGACGCACAATCTTGGACATGTCCTATGCTAGTTTTATGGCTTATGATGGGAATTACCCGCAACAATATTAATTGAGTTGGTAAATTGAATAAACAGACATATAGTACGTGTAAATTAGTGTATACATAGAAATACCAACCTGATATAGGAACCCCACGCCACATCCAGTAACAGCTAACCTGATGAATTCAAAGATAATATTGGGAAACCAAGCCGTCAATAGGCTTACTAAAACTAGAAATGTCGATCCATAACTAAGGATCACCTTGCAGACCCTAGAATGGGCCAATATATATGAAGGCCATACATATAGAAGGGTAGAGAGAGGCACTACATTCGCAAAGAGTAGTAGGAAACTAGTAAAAGCAAAGAAAATGTCAGTGGTAGTCCCACAATTTTTTAAGGCATTTACGAGCCAATTTTTAGAATTATGCGACGTTCTTGGTCACACGAGATGCACGTACAACTAAGGCTGGCAAATGGATAGGGTTTTGGTCAGTCCGGTCTGGTTCCCGTACCGGTAAGTTCGGTACCGGTTGAACCGGTAAGGAACCGATCTTATAGGGTACCGGAATCGTTACCGGAAAGGAACCCGGTTTTTTATCCGGTTGATCCGGTTCGGTAAGAACCGGTTCCTGTCCGATTGATCCGGTTCAACGGTCACTTCCATTTTATTTTTTTTTATTTTTTTAAGTTGAACGTTAATTTATAGCTGTTGGGCCCTTTTAGCCGTTGGGCTGAGGGGAAAAATGGCTCAAAACATCCCCCCACCCCTCTCTAACCCCTTAACACTATAAATATACCCATATTCTTTTATTTAAATCACAAATTCACAAATTATTTCATTAACATCTTACAAAATCTCACAATTTTCAATCTCTCATAAATTCATAATTATTATTTTGTGATATTGACTTGGAGTTCGGATTTTGGAGATTTATTTGAAGTAAATCGGAAGCTTCAATTGGCATCTCTCAATTCCGGCTTTGGTTATACGTCTACTTTTACGTAGACGTTCGGTACATTTGTTCCAACTTTAATTTTTTATTTGTTTATTAATTAAGTTATTTTATTTTTTTTGTTTATATTATCTTGCTTGTTTTTCATAATATTTAATTATTTTAAACTTGAACATGAATTTGGAAAGAAATAGTGGTAGAAGACCAATGTCGGAAAGAAAAAATAATAGGGGAGGAGGAAGTAGTTCTAATTCTAAAAATTTGCCACCTAGATTTAGATTTAATAATAATGATTATACTCATGCTGATGAAACTTCTTTTACACGAGACTCACGACCTATTGAATTTAATTCCAAAAATGAAGTAGATCATGAGACTTTAAATAGATGTTTTACTAATTTTGAGGAAGAATTAGATGAGGAAGTAGAAATAAATGAGGAAGATGATGAGACCCCTACCCCTACTAATCCAGCTACCGAATTACCGGAACAAGATGAAGTCCCCTCTTTACCTACTTTTTCAAAGACCGTTGTACGTGTTAAAAGATCTTTAGTATGGAAATTTTTGGTACAAAATGAGGAAAAAACTACTGTTACTTGCACGAAATGTAAATTGACCATGAAACATGTAACTACGGGTACACAAAGGGGAATATGTAAATTGATCATGAAACATGTAACTACGGGTACACAAGGGGGAACGGGACGACTAAGAACACATTTGAGAAAGTGTAATAAAGAATTTGCTCGCCTAGATGATATAGAAAGGGCTAATAGAAATGGAATACCTCAACCTGAAAATTCTATGGGAGCTGGAGGTTCTAATATGGTTCAAAGTGTATTAAATATGACTAACCCGGCTAGCCGAAGCACACACCGCACATATAGTAAAGAAAAAAATCGTAGAGAATTATTTAAAATGGTTGCTGTTTGTGGTTTGCCTTTTTCATTTCCTTCACATCCTGGTTTTATTCAGTATATTCGGGAATTGTATAACCCAGATTATGAAGGTATTCCAAGAAGTACAATTAAAAGTGATCTTTATAAATATCAAAAAGAATATTGTCATTTTCTTCGTTGTTTATTTGTTTATTATGATGGTAGATTATCTATTACTTCTGATATGGGACATAGTCCTAATGGTAATGATTATTTTAGAATTACTGTCTATTGGATTGACCATGAATGGAACATGCAAAAACGAATATTAGGGTATAAATATGTTGAAGAAACTAAAACCGGTTCTTATATAGCAACAAAAAATAAGCTCTATTTTACAATTTTATGGAATATGTGATAAAAATAATGAGTGTCACTTTAGATAATGCTTCTAATAATTTAAAAGCAATTGATTTATTTAAAAATGTAGACTTTGTCCAATTGATAAATGATTCTTTTCTATATTAAGTGTGCCGCACATGTGTATAATTTGATAGTAAAAGATGGTATTTCTCAATTTTGGAATTTCTTGTGAAAAAATTAGACTTGCTTGTAATTGGATTTTTAAAGCTAAATAAAAGCTAGAATTACAGAATTTAAAAATCGTTGTAAAGAATGTGGACTTGCATATAAGAAAAGTTCCAAAAGAAGTATGCACTAGATGGAATTCTTTATTTGAAATGCTTGAAGTTGCTTATATTTATCAAGAGCCAGTACAATTAGTTTTTAATGCTCATAATGCAGACCCGAATTTAAGAATTGGCTATGAAGATTGGGAAATTACAAAAGAGCTTGTTGAATTTTTAAGTGTTTTTTATAAAGCAACAAATGTTGCTTCTGGTCAATATTATCCAACTATTTCTTCTGTTTTAGTAAATATTTGTGCTATTTCATCTGAATTTGCAAAATATAGAGGAAAAGATTGATTTAACGATTCACTTGATTTTCTGATTGAAAAATTCAAAAAATATTTTTTCCCTATTCCTCAAATCTATTTGACTGCTACTACTTTCAACACAAATTACAATTAAAAAATGTTGAAAGAATGGTTGAAAAGATTTATGCAAATTTAGAAATTAAAGATGATGAAACTCCTAGTGTTGAAGATTGTAAAAGTAGCATATATACAAAAGCTAGAGAGTTATATAATACATATAAAGCTATGGAAAAAAAAATTCCACTAGTTGAACCTCCATCTTGTAGGCCTAGAAGTGATGATACGGATGATTGGATGGATGATTATCTTGAGCTTGAATCATCTACTAATAATGATTTTGATTTATATTTCAATCAGGCACGGGAAAAGATTAGGCATGAAGAAGGACAACTTCAAGCTCAAATATTAGTATGGTGGAAGAATCGTGAAAATCAATTTCCGACCCTTGCTAGGGTTGTTCGAGATGTGCTAGCGATTCAAGCATCATCAGCCGCTTTGGAGCAAGACTTTAGTGCGGCGAGATTTACGATTGGAGATCATCGATATACATTAGCAAATGATAGCTTGGAAATATCGGTGTTGTTTTGAGATTGGGTCAATGCCGAAAGAAGAAATTCCGGACTACCACAAATAAATAGCCAAATAGAAGACGAAATAGATGAAATATTTGGTGATAATAGTGATGATGGCATGGAAGCAATGGAAGAAGAATGACAAATACAAGTTCCAAAAAATGTTTCTTTTGAAATGATACAAAAGTTACGAAAAGCTTTTAAAAAAAGTTTCAATTGTTCGTACAATAATTAATATTCAATACCTAGATTATGTACTCTTTGTCTCTTTTCTAATAATTGTATTGTACAATTTATTTATTTGAATAAATATACAGCTATTCACCTTGATTTTCTTTTAAAATAGTCTCTTTATATTTTAATCCAAGTCATTTTAGAAATTTAATTTTCAACTATTTTAATATTAGTTTAAAAATTTAAACTTTAATATAAAATTGAATTTTAAGGTTTAAAGTTTAAATTCAATATAAACTTTAAACTTTAAATTCAATATAAACTTTAAAAAATTTAAACTTTAAAGTTTAAAGTTTAAACTTAAATTCAATTGAAACTTTAAAGTTTAAAGTTTTAAATTGAAGTTTTTTAATAATATAATATTATTAATTAATAATATAATATTATATAATGATTAAAGTTAATAAAAAAATAAAAATAAATTACCGGTACACAATGATCCGGTAAGAACCGGTTCCGGTCCGGCCAAACCGGTTCCTATCCGGTAACTAAGGGACCAGGCCTTTGGGAATTTTTGGTAAAACCGGTTCCGGTAAGACCCGGTTCCAGTAAATAAATCCGATAACGAGGACCGGTTCCGGTACCCGTTCCAGTAAAATCGGTCATGTTGATCCAGTCATGTCCAATTGCCAGCCTTACGTACAACACACGAGATGTACGTACAGTGCACAAGATGCACATACAACACACGAGATACATGTACAACGCACAAGATGTATGTGTTGCACTTATTCTACCAATACCCCCAAGAGACTGATACTAACAGTGTGAGTTTCAAAATTCCTACGACACTACGTTCTTAATACAAAAACCTAGTACTACGCTCCATTTTCGCTATCTTCTTTTGGAATTACTTTCTTCCAAAACCAACGTAGCTTCCAGATCTTTTCTTTTGACATCTCACCTTTTTCTTTCCTATCTCGGGTAGGAACTTGTATAATATGAATTCTACACAGATAACCACAATAGCAAGGAAAATGAATACCCACGCATTCAAGGCATAAATGAGAGGCAATGTCATGAAGAAAAATAGAGTTGCCTCGCAACATGCACCTAAATCTCGAAGATCATCGGGGTATGATGCCTCTGTCCAATTTCGTGGGGTAGAAAGTAAAGAATAACATCATATGAGGAGGATGCTAGAGGAAATTACAATGTAGTCTGACTGTTGCTTTAGATGAACTAATGGATTTTTTCCATGGTATACAAAAAAAAACAAGGAAATCTTCATATATTGGAAGAAATTGGACAATTAGATATATTTGACAAATGAGATTACTCTGCAAAGGAAAATAATAAATAAATATCTCAGAGACAAAAATTCATGCACATGCTAAAAGTAGAGTTCTTCGTCGCCCAAAGAATCTATAACTAAAAACTGCAAGTCCAGGAACTCCAACTCGAATTGCACCACCAAGGAACGAAGCTAGAAATGAGGTATGGTACTTAAATGCTATGAAATGTAAGAATAGAGGGCCCAAAAACATGTTGGAGTATAAGGCTAAGAGTCGCTGGAAAATTTGTGTCGCTACATTAATCACCAAAACTGGTGAGTGTAGCAGCTTCTGCCAAGGCTCCCTGTCTTCATTTTCAATTAGGTAAGCTAATTGTTGAAGCTCTTCTTCAGCTCCAAATTTTTGTATCCTCTTCAGGACTACTTTCGCCTCCTCCACTCGGCCTTGCTTAATGAGAAATTGTGGTGTCTCATTAAGCAAAACTAATAGTAGAAATACTGGAAAGGGGAAAATGTCATAGACAAAAAGACTCCACTGCCATCCATCTATGTAATTACGGGATACAACTAGGCTTATTTATTTCGCCATAGTGTTTCTACATATGAGCATGTAGAAGAACTAGAAGGACACACAATCTTGGGCATGTCCTATACTAATTTCATGGCATATGATGGGAATTACCCGCACTAATATTAATTTAGTTGGTAAATTGAATAAACATACTTATAGTACCCGTAAATGAATGTATACCTAGGAACACCAACCTTATATAGGAACTCCATGCCACATCCAGTAAAAGCGAACCCGATGAATTTGAAGATAATATTGGGAAATCAAGTCGTCAGTATGCTTCCCGAATCTACAAGTGTCGATCCACAAATAAGGATCGGCTTGCAGCTCCAAGAATGGGAACAAGGAGTAATAACGACATCACCCAAAAACATAAAGGGACATGATTGTGAATGAGCAATGTTCGAACTGTTTCAATTAGATGTTTGTTCTGTTACTCATCAAATCCATTTTGTTGAGGAGTATGTGCACAATAAGACAAGTGCCATATGCTCTGGGATAACATAAAAGAAGAGAAAGAAGTATTTTTAGGTATTATCATTGATTAACTTTTTAATGGAAATACCAAATTATTGCGGATTTCTGCATCAAATTATTTTTAGAGATAGCATGTGCACTGAGAATAGTCATCAATAAATGTAACAAAATAATGAAAGCCTAAGGAAGAATTGACACGACTTGGACCCCATATATCCGAATGAATGATTTCAAATATAGATGTGGCCCTATTATTGACGTGTTTTGGGAAAAAGAGGCATGAGTGTAATTACCAAGCTGACACAACTCAAATTCTAACAAATATAAACTAGATAAGTGGGAACCATTTTTTGAAATTTCAAGAGACTTGGATGACCCAATTAACTATGGAGCAATTCAGAAGAAATAATGGAAGTGAAAGAAACATGCGGTGTTAGGATAGAGAGCAGGTACAGTCCATGTGACTCATGTCCTTTTTCAATCACCTGTCATGTACTCTGTACTGCTGAAGAACAAAATCATCAGAGAAGGTTACAATGCATTTCAGGTTTTTTGTTAATTTGCTAATGGAAATAAGATTATATGGACATTCAGGTGCAAAAAGGATTGATTTTAATGGTATGGAAGGTAGAGGATGAGTTATACCTATAGCTTTAACAATCTTCTTTAATCCATTCGCCAAAGTAATAGTAGAGAGGGTAGAAGGGAAAGTAAGAATATAGAAAGTGTTTTTGTTTCCAGAAATATGGTCAGAAGCACCCGAATCAAGAAACCATTGTTCCTGAGACGCAGACTGTGCGACATAAGCAAAGTTACCATATTGTATTGTGCAAGAAATGGTTGATTGTTGCCTTGATGTTTGGTATTGAAGGTAGTCATTTTAGTATGCTCTATTTAATGTGATAGATTGAGATGATCCATCCATTATGATTCTCTTTTTGTCACAAAAAGAAGTTCTGGAGAAAGATATGAGACTCGACAATTTTCTGATATGGTTGATTGATCCCTCCATCATTTTAAGTTTCTATTATTGAAATAAAATAACATTCAGAAAGAGGGTTGAAAAACAAGTGGCTCTGATACTATGAGAAACTAGCAGAAGAAGAAGAAGAAAAGATATTGACAATTGAATTGATTGATCATTTCCGCAAGTTGATGGGATTAAATAGTTGTTACAAATAGTGTAAATAAGGAAAGAAGATGATAAAATATTACACAATCTCCTAACTGCCTAATTAAAGGAATTAGGGAATATTATCATAGCTAGACTATTTAATCATATTTAAATATTTTCATATCTTCACTATCCAATTTTACCATAATTAATCGATGGAATCACATAATTAAACTATCCAAGAAGAAGAAAGGAAAATATAGTGAAAATCATGCTTTCATAAGAACCCTAACTTTTATAGAAATCATTATCTGAAAAACTAGGTTTTTCGTGGAACTCTATGGGTGAAAGGATGCTCATTGGTGAAATTCCACATACGTGGAATGGAAACCCTAGCTTGATTCTTTGAATTGAAGATTAAAGATGAAAAACCCTAGTTCTTGCTTGAGAGGAGTTAAGACCTACTGATTCTAATCTTTGGGTGTTGGGCGTGAATGGGGAGGTTTAGGTCGATTAAGTTTTACTTAATCCCTCTTAGAATAGGCTAAAACGACATAGTATGATAACTAAAGAGTAGGAAAATATCAAACCAACCTTGAAGGAAAACTGTTGGCATCTTCTGCGAGGGCTATCTACAGTCTGTGGATTAGACTACGGGATGTAGATTCCTCTCATAGAAATTAGGCCTAAATACTAGGTTTTTGAAGTTTGATCTATGAGACCCATTTACGATTCGTAATTCCATTTACGATTCGTAATTCCATTTACGATCTGTAAATGTGGTTTGTAAAAGTCAGACAAAAATTGAGCTTAGGGACTTTGATCCACGAGCCCATCTACGACCCATAAAAACATCTATAGCATGTGGTCCTTGCTCATGAAACTCGGGCTCAATTCCCAATCTCTGAAATTGATCTACTTATCACATCTACAATTTGTGGTTCCATTTACTATCGTAGATGGCGTCTATAAATGCCAAAATTTGTGCAGTCCTAAATTTCTAGACTTTCAATATTTGATTTGAACTTTAGAACTGCTAGTGTTAAAATAATTTCCTCTTTGGGAACATTTGTCCTTGAATGGAGTCATAATAAGTTGAAAAGAGTAGGGAAAGATCAACAAACCCGGAACTTAAAGCTAAACACTAAAACTGATGGAGTGACTGACTCCGAACTAAAACATCAAAGGTGGACTGATTTCATGAGCACTCATGCATACTTATACATGGGATTTAATTGAAAGACATGAATTTGAATAGAGTACTATAGAGGAACTATTACCTCACGCTGGAACTAAACTAGAAGAAAAGACGTGGAGGTACTTGGCCATCATATCTTCTTTTGCTTACCAAGTCGCTCCTTCAACCAATTGATTCCTCCATAAATGTTTTTACTGAAGTGACTTCCTTATTTCTAAACTTATGAACCTGCCAGTCAAGGATCTCGACTCTGACCTCTTTGTAAGAGAGACTATCCTTCACACCAACACTCTCTAAAGGCACAACTCAAGTGGGATCACCAATGCATTTCTTCAACAAGGACATATGGAACATTGGATGCACTAATGCTAACTTTGCAGGTAAATCCAGGTCTTATGCCACATTACCAAAATGCCTCAGAATCCTATAAGGACCAATATAATAGACACTCAGCTTTCCATTCTTACCATACCTCATCACCCCTTTCATGAGTTAAAATTTTCAGATATACTCGATCACCAATAGAAAATTTAAGCTCTCTTCTCCTCACATCTACATATGATTTCTATCTACTCTGAGTCATTACCAACCTATCTCTAAAAAGCTAAACGTTCTCCATAGCCTCATGAATTGATTTAGTCCCTATCAAAGCCACTTCACCAACCTCGAATCACCTTATACGAGATCTATACCACCTACCATAAAGCACCTTAAATGGAGCCATCTGAATACTGGTAGCAAACTCAATAAGAGGCAAGTGACCATTCCAATTACCCTTGAAGTCTAGCACGCAAGCTCTCAACATATCCTCTAAAGTCTGAATAGTTTGTTCTGCTTGACCATTTGTCTACTGATGAAAAGTTGTACCAAGCTTAACCTGAGTACCAAGACCTTCCTGAAATGACTTCAAAAATTGAAAGGTGAGTACCCCTATCTGAGATACTGGATAATGGAGCCCCATGCAATTTCACTAACTCTCGGATGTAAAGTCTAGCATAAACCTTAGCTGAATAAGAAGTCTTAACTGATAGGAAATGTTTTGACTTAGTCATCTGGTCTACTACCACCCAGATAGAATCATGTTGTCGACCTGTGTGAGGCAAACCTGTGATAAAATTCATATTCAAATACTCCCACTTCCAAGTAGGAAAGCTCATATCGTGAGTCATTCCTCCTATTTTTTTTATATTCAATGTTAACTTGTTGGAAATTTGGACACTTAGCTACAAATTTTGCAATATTTTTCTTCATATCATTCCACCAATAGACTTCCAATAGGTCATGATACATCTTAGTGGCCCTTGGGTGAGCACAATATCGAGAATAGTGAGCTTCTCTTAAAATTTGTTGCCTCAATCCATCAACATTTGGAACACACAAATGATCCTGGTAACGAAGCACACCATCTCCAAAGCCTCCATAATCTTTTTAAGGACTAGTTCCTTCCATTCAATTAAGATTGGATCATCATCCTTTTTTGATGTAATACGGAGTACAAGATAGAGAAATTCAAGGGATAATTAAGAACTTAAGGGGATATAGAAGAGAAAGAAAGAACAATCCCAGAATTGAAGTAACTTAGAGACCAATAAATATAGATTTATAATTCCCTAATTTTGACAAACAAATACAAGATTAAATTCAAGGAAGAAGAGAATTGAACTCATACATAAATAATCATACCAAAAGACATTAGGTCCAATGTGGAGACAAAAGGGATACAACTCACCAATAGTATTCACCTAAAAATATCCCCTCAATAATATTCATTCTATTCTATTTATACCACTAGGGTTAACTAAAATAAGAAAAGACATAAATGCCCTTAATTACATGTACAATCATGTAGTGACCAAAAAGACCATAAAACATAATGTGAATCTTTTCTTGTACTGATTCTTGCTTCCCACACTCACTTGAAACACTCTAAGCTCTTGATGTAAAGTGAAAATCCTTCAATGCAGTGAGCACTTCCTGGACTTGCATTATTCTCCCCTTCTTGAAAAGAATTGGACCTCGAATTCGAACCTTGCAAATTATAGAAGGTCATTAGTTCCCAAGCCAAAAAATAATCTTCCAAACATGTTACGAACTGATTAACGTATCAGGACACTTCATCCAATACTAAGTGTCAACGATCATTATGTAGTAATATAACCCAACTAAGTGAGTTGGGGTCGAGTCCCAAGGGAGTGGTTTGTAATTGAGAATTAATAAGCAAGTAAAAATATGCTCAAGTCAATCATAGCTAAAAACATTTACGAATAAAAACGTGGTTCAAGTTAGGGGTGACACAAGTTAGGGGTGACACAAGTGTCAAATATCAGGGGGGGGTTTGTTTTCAATTATCAACTAAAACAACAAATAATACAAAAAAAACAATTATGGAGATGGTATTCTTGGGATGTGATTGGATTATGGGCTAAGATAGACAACCGGGTAATTGCAATTAATAGTATACAGCTATAAATCAGTGATTAATCTAGACTTTAGTGGGGATAAACTTTCTCTCAAACAATTTAACCTGAATCAAATTGGTTTCTCTCGAACACCAATAAGCACCAATTAAGCACAACCTTCGCTTTATTCCATTCACTATCTCGACCTGAATGTGTGGAAAAAGGTTTAGGGTTCACTCTCTCGAGTTGAACCTATAACAACCCAATACCCACAGACCATTGATTCAGTAATTTTGGTTTTAAAACCTCTCTCTCGAGCAAGCCAAAAACACAAAGTTAAGATTATATTTGCAACTACAACCTATTAAATTCAACCACAATTACTGAACGAAAACACCTTTAAAAAGCAACTAAACAATCAATTAACAATACCCAGCAGTTATATCAACCCATAATCACATAATCACACCCCAATAATTAGGGTTTTAGCTAGACATCATAAAAAGGTAAAAATCGTTACCAAGTTGTGTTTCCATCAACTGGGTAGGATTTATATAGTTTTTACAAAGGTCTAAGATGAAGAATCTTAAACAACCACTTCCAATTTCTTAGAAATGGAAACCTTCAAATCTTCAAAGCTAAGGAAAAATGTCTCCAAAAACTCAGTTCTCAGCTCTCAAACTTGAAAACTGAATAATAACACTAATATAAACTAAACTGCCTCTTAAACTTAGAATTTTAAAACGTATTTATAGTCGCCCAAAAATGTGCTGCGAAGGACCATTCGGCGCAATAAGTCGAGATCGCCGATCTATTCGGCGTTCCGCCCTTTGGTCAATTTCATCGCCTTTTTGCTTTGGCCTTCAGCATCTTCAAGTTTTGTACTTTGGGCGATATGGCACTGCATCGCAGAACCGTTCGGTGATTCGCCGACTACTCATTTCTATCGCCGACTTGATTTTCTCCTTCAGGGCTCGGCACACTGAAACATTAGGTGAGATAATGGTCATTCGGCGACTCGCCCAATGGATTAGGTGATCCTCAGTCTTTCTTTTCTTTGTTCTTTAGCTGCTTTGTTCCTT